GAGGAGTCCCAAGAAATAGCAACGGAAATTTTCCAAAGAGGAATGAGAGCGCAGGACAGGCCTCCACTTCTCCAACACAAGCAGGAGTCAGAGTGGACCTGTGGCTCTCCTGAGAGGATACCAGGATTCGAGGCTCAGTGAACTCCTGTTTCCTGAGCCCTCATCAGAAGCAGTCTGGGGAAGCTGGGTCCCAGCCAATGGCAGGGCAGGCCCCAGCTCCTCCTCTTCCCGGGCTGGGCCGGCACACCCGGCAGGCTATCTCCCGGGAACCGGAGCCGGATTCAACGGGCTTCTCCGAAAACCTTCCCCAGTTCTGGATATGAAATTCCAGCTGCTTGCTGAGTGCTAATGCCGGCTGCCGGGAGGCAGGAGAGCCCTAAGGAGTACCCACTCAGGTAAGGGTATCTGTGTCCAATGTGTCCTGCCCCGTGGCAAGAGAACACTTCTCTGGTGGGGAGTGGGGATGGGGGGGCCGCCTGGACACATCTGCCACCCTGCGTCCTGATGGTGGAGGAATAAGGGGCTCTGGGTTCTTCTAGCTCTCCCCAGCCGGGCAAAGGTGGGAGCAAGGAACTGAGTGGGAGAGAAGCTAAGAGGGGGCCAGGCCGGAAGCTAGGCAGGCAGAGTAGCTCTGCCTGGGCCTGCAAAGCCCCGCCCCACCCCCGCCACCCCCAAGTAGGGATGGGCTGGGTGAAAGCCCCTGGGGGCTAAGGGCAAGGGCCTCCCTGGGTGTTCCCCGAGAAGCTGCCATGAGTCCCGCCTACCTTAGACAGGGCTGAGCATGCAAGCTGGTGATTCAGAGCAGAGCCCCCCTTCACTCCCCGTCTAAGTGGCAGGTGGTGTGGAAACAGGGTGAGGGGCAAAGGTACCCGTAGCCACCCAGGAGCCACGCACAAGGTGAAGGACAGAATCTGTCTGCACACAGACAGGCAGGCAGCTCATCGAGGCTTGAGGAAAGGGCCTGAGGCCTAAGGCTGGGCAGTTCCCAGCGGGTGGGCTCTAGATCCAGCATGCCTGGGTTCAAATCCTAGCTCTGCCACTTAGCTGTGTGACATTGTGCGAGTTAATTAACCCCTCTGTGGTCCTCTTTCTTCATCTGTAAATTGGGAATAAAAAATATCCTGCCCCTTCCTAAGGCTGCTGTGAAGGAATAATGTCTTGATTCATGCAAAGAACTTACAGCGGTGCCTGGCACAGCATGAATATTTCATGGATGTTGGCTGTCATCACAACGCTGCTTTGCAGGTGATCCTGCAGAGGCTGAGACAGCCTGGAGAGCTTCAGCCTGGGCCAGCACAGGAAGGGCAGCACGAGCCCTTTAGTGGCTACGCAGACAGGCTCCTTGGGGTCCCAGGGTGCACAGTGAGTTGAAACAACAGTGCGTGGATCTGGGTGGACACACCCCCATCCCCAGGAATCAGGCAGAGGGCTTGCAGGTGAGGCAGTGGGCACCCCTTATTCTGCCTAGCAGTCACAGTCCTTAAATGGAGGTGAATCTGATTCTGTGAGTTCATCAGGCCAAATTCACCAGCAGCACTAACAGGAGCAGTGTTTCTCACTTGATGTCTTGAAAGGCTATCCCATAAGATGATCAAAGTTATGTCAGGAGGAAAAGGGCTTCTGTGGGCAAAGGAGTTTGGGCAATGCCACATATTTCATACCTCTTTTGGTAAATGTATTAGTGAGTTTATTAGCACAGCTGAGCTATTTAACTTTACTAAACCTGACGTTCGCCAACTTTTCTTGATACAGAATCCTCTTCTCCCACTTCTACTGCCAACCTATGGGGCAGGGTTCCAGGGAACACTGGTTTGGGAAACACTGGAATACAGGCTCCTCTAGGAAGCCTACTATATGAAGAGAATGTATTGCTGCCTACTGTATCTTTCAGCTGGATTGCACTGGCCATGTTTCAAATGAGTGGCACTTGAGCAGGACTCTCCCTGGCTAATTACAGAGTGTTAGACCAGATTGGGGCTTGGGAGCAAGGTTCCAGCCTCCTTTCCAGTCCCATCCCTGAGCTAAGGAAAAAAACAAAAAAAAAGAGCAGGTTCCCCTGGGGAAGGAGCTGTCTGAGAAGAGATAGCAGTGCTCAGAAAGGAGAGGTGAAGCCATCTCAAGGCTCAGCCCCCTGAGAAGGAGGGCCAGGGTTGGAACAGAGGGAGCAGGCAGAATGTCCCAACTCCATACATCTTCACTCTGCAGAACCCTAAGACAAGAGCCTCAGGCCCTGGGAGGAATCAGTGGCTCCCTGGACCTGCCCTCATCCACTTTTATGGGTAAGAGTTGGGTTGTGGGCTTAATTACCTATGCTCAAATCCCAGCTCTGCACTAATAGTTGTGTAACCTTGTATAATGCCTCTAAACCTCAGCTTCCTCCCTCTATAAAATGGGGACAGTAGTAGAACCTAGCTCTAGTGGTGGCAAGCAGGAAGGGTGGTGACATAGTTCTACACAGTGCTCAGAACGAGTATTTTATAAATGTAGGAAATCACTGTTATCGTTTCCCTGCAGCAGCAGCCGACGCTTGGGTCCACCATGAACTGGGGGATCTTTGAGGGACTCCTGAGTGGGGTCAACAAGTACTCCACAGCCTTCGGGCGCATCTGGCTGTCCCTGGTCTTCATCTTCCGCGTGCTGGTGTACCTGGTGACGGCCGAGCGCGTGTGGAGTGACGACCACAAGGACTTCGACTGCAACACACGCCAGCCTGGCTGCTCCAACGTCTGCTTCGACGCGTTCTTCCCCGTGTCCCATGTGCGCCTATGGGCCCTGCAGCTCATCCTGGTCACGTGCCCCTCGCTGCTTGTGGTCATGCACGTGGCCTACCGGGAGCTTCAGGAGAAGAGGCACCAAGAAGCCTATGGGGAGGATGGTGGGCGCCTCTACCTGAACCCCGGCAAGAAGCGGGGTGGGCTCTGGTGGACGTACGTCTGCAGCCTGGTGTTCAAGGCCAGTGTGGACATCGCCTTTCTCTATGTGTTCCACTCATTCTACCCTAAATATATGCTCCCTCCTGTGGTCAAGTGCCACGCAGATCCATGTCCCAATATAGTGGACTGCTTCATCTCCAAGCCCTCAGAGAAGAACATCTTCACCCTCTTCATGGTAGCCACAGCGGCCGTCTGCATCCTGCTCAACATTGTGGAGCTGATCTACCTGGTGAGCAAGAGGTGCCACGAGTGCCTGGCAGCAAGGAAAGCCCGAGCCATGTGCACAGGCCATCACCCACACGGCGCCACCTCTCCCTGCAAACAGGATGACCTCCTTTCGGGCGACCTCATCTTTCTGGCTTCAGACAGTCATCCTCCTCTCTTACCAGACCGCCCTCGAGACCATGTGAAGAAAACCATCCTGTGAGGGGCTGCCTGGACCGGGTTGGCAGGTTGGGCCTGGATGGGGAGGCTCTAGCATCTCTTACATGTTCAACCTGAGAGTGGGGACGCTAACCCGTGAGGTGGGGGCAGGCAAGAGACAGGATTCTGACAGTCTGGAATCCAACTCCTAGTCCTCCCCTCCAGCCACCTGCCCCAGCTGGACAGCCATGGACCAGCTCCCCTCCACTCTATAGCTCAGTTTCCTTTTCTGTAGAATGGAGATCGTGAGGGCTACTGCACAGGGCTGGAGGAAGGAGGAGGGGGCATTCATAGAAGAACACACATGTAGGCACCTTCGAGTGTGTGGCCCACTGTCAGGGCTTAATAAAAGTCAACTCGTTTGCTGATTCCAGGTGCTCTCTAGTTGTGCGGCCTTTGTGACCCCCATGCATTCATTGAGTCAGTCTCTCTGCCCCTGCAAAGGGCTGCACTTGATCCAGCCTGAGGAGGGGCCTCCTCTCCTCCAGAAAGGGGGCCCTCCAGTACTCCAGGGGACATGCTACTTGCTCATGCTCCCATCGAGCCTTTATCCCCCGTGGCAAGTTTAGGCCTGTGGGTTGTCTGCAGAGAGAATGGAGCTCGGTCCTTGGGGAGCTGCATGTTGCAGTGGGAAGTCATGGACTCAGAATGCCTGCGTCAAGTCCAAGTTCCACTGCGACTCTGGGAAAGTCACTTCCGCTTCTCTCCAAAATGGGTTAATAGGTATTATTAATAGGTATTATTAACCCATTTTGGAGAGAAGTGGAAGTGACTTTCCCATAGCCTGTGGGCTGTGCTGAGGACTGATGAGCTCCTGGCTGGGACAGGGTTAGCCAGCTGGAAAAGGACACATAAATGTTAATCATCGGTATTAGGAAGTGCCCGATAAATGCCTGTAGGAAACGAAGCAGAAGGCCCCTCCCTAGCTGCACATTAAACGTCATCATCCCAGCAGGGACACAGGTCCCAGGCCACCCACCAGCATCTGCACGGTCACACTCCAGCTTCCCTGGAGGCCTTCCTCAGGACCCCAGAGGCCCCAGCCCACAGAGGACCAACAGCAACGCTGTGCCTGGCCCCGTGCCAACTGGAGCATTTCATGCTGCCAACCTGCATTCCTTGCTCCACCAGGGCTGTGGGTGCCCTGTTCTGGAAAAGTCATAGCTGACCGCTCCCAGCCCCTACACAATCCAAGAGCTTCCCCGGCTCCAGTCCCCAGAAATATCCCCACGACCAGAGTGGGATCCATTCCTGCACTAAATTAAGGTTGCCCCCTTCCACAGATGTCAGCTGCTGAGGACCGCAGAATCAGGCTTCCCAGGAAAAGGCCAGGAGAGAGGCTTAAGGACAGGGAGGTGGGGCAAGGAGGCAACGGGAAGAGGATGGGGTCAATCCCACTGGTGCTGTCCTAGGCCCAGGCATGATATCAGGCTCCTGAGCCCCACAGAGCAGTCTCACCCACATACCTGCCTGCCTGGGAGCCAGGCCCAGCCATGCCCAGCCAGGCTAGAGAGGAGGCGTGGGCCAGGAGAGAAGAGCCACAGGTGTTTGCTCTGAATATGTGCCCGGGGAAGTCCGCCCTCCTGCCTGCCCACCCCAATCACTCTCGCTTGGCTCATTGGCCCAGAAAGCCCCACCCAGCAAGACAGTGAGTAACAAAAGCTGCCTCCGGGAAGTCCTGGGGCAGACGGACAAGCCCAAGGACAAGGGAGCAGCTACTGGACCCAACAAGGGTGAGGACCAAATAGGGCAGGAGGCTAGCCAGGAAGCCAGCAGCCAGCTGAGCTGAGGATATCCAGCGGACCTCAGGCTGTGGGCTGGGCTTTAGGGAGGGAGCCAGAGTGTGGGGGTCCCTAGAGGATGCCAGGGAAGTGCCAAGGAGGAGAAGGAATGTCCTGCCTGACCTAAGGGAGGACAGAAGTCCAGGGAAGAGGAGTGATCAGGAAGAAATGGGTTTCAGTTCAGTTTCACAAACATCTATTTTGTGTTCACTGGGCCAGGCTAGTGCTAGGTCCTAGGGAGACAGAGGTAAAGGGTCTGCCCTCTAGAAGCTGACAGTCTGTCAAAAAAATAAGACGGGTAAATAGATTATTTGGGAACAGGCAATGCCTCTTTCTCTGAAAATGTGCCAGGCACACAATGTCTAAAGAGGCTGAGAGCAGAGTCAGGGCTTGGGGTTGGGGAAGGAGAAGGGGAAGAGGAGGGGAGGGTTGCAGGTGGGACCTGATGGGGACTCCAGACAAGGGGGTATGGAGGTCGGAGTCAATAGGACAGGGACCTGGAAGGAAATAATGGAAACTTGGCTAGCAAAAAGCCACTAAGTGGACGGAGGAGGGGGTGCCCCTGAGAGAAAGTAAATGGGTGGTGCAGACCATGCCAGAATCGATCCTCAGTCCCTTCCCCAGTCCCTTCCTAAAGCTGGAATGGTTGGAATTCCAGAGGAACCCACTGTGGTCAGGACAGTCAGCCCTCAGGCCCTAGTACCAATACATGGGTCAGCAGGGAGGATGTCAGGTCCTCGTGATTCCAAAGCACCTCTGTTTAGTTTGGGCAGGAATGCCAGGGCTGAGAACCTTCCTGAAGCCAGAGCCAAGGAGTAAGGATGAAGATTGTTACGGGATCTACCAAGGGACTGATGTAAACGTGCCCAGTACAGGGCCAGGCTCCCGCTGGTGTTCAGTAAAAGTGGGATGGATCTGACAACTGATAAGGATACGCTCCTACCCCTCCTGCCCTGGCCCAGCCCTGGCAGCCGACGGCAGAGCAGATCGTCCAATTCAAACCTTCCTATGATCTCTCTAGAAGTCGTGGGCTGAAACTTGGGGGAAGAGAGGTTGGCTAGCAGGTCCATGCAGGATGCTTGTCTTCACATGTATCTATTACTTTGTAGAATAAAATAGACCCTAACTCTGGAAGCTGAAGACAAAAGTGCAAGACTAGCTCTGTGACTCCCATCTGTGGAGCCTTGGGCGGCTATCTCCGGGCCTTCACTTACTCTTTGTGAAACGGGGACAAGGGCAATCCCTACCTTACCAAGTCAATGGGAGTGAGGACATGAAGACACGGTGATTGTGAAACACTTTTGTCAATCACACCGGCATTCAGGGTGCCCATCTCCAGGTCCCCCCACACCTCAAGGCTCCCAAGGCCTGAGTGGGTGGGTGGCACCCAGGTGTAGACTGTCCACGTGCAGTACCCAGGACACAGCCAGCATGAACTGGGCATTTCTGCAGGGCCTCCTGAGTGGCGTGAACAAGTACTCCACGGCGCTAAGCCGCATCTGGCTGTCTGTGGTCTTCATCTTTCGCGTGCTGGTGTACGTGGTGGCAGCCGAGGAGGTGTGGGACGATGAGCAGAAGGACTTTGTCTGCAACACCAAGCAGCCTGGCTGCCCCAACGTCTGCTACGACGAGTTCTTCCCGGTGTCCCATGTGCGCCTCTGGGCCCTGCAGCTCATCCTGGTCACGTGCCCCTCACTGCTCGTGGTCATGCACGTGGCCTACCGCGAGGAACGTGAGCGCAGGTACCGTCTGAAACATGGGCCCAATGCCCCTTCCCTGTATGACAACCCGAGCAAGAAGCGGGGCGGGCTGTGGTGGACGTACTTGCTAAGCCTCATCTTCAAGGCCGCCGTGGACACCGGCTTCCTCTATATTTTCCACCGCCTCTACAAGGATTACGACATGCCCCGCGTGGTGGCCTGCTCCGTGGAGCCTTGCCCCCACACTGTGGACTGTTACATCTCCCGGCCCACAGAGAAGAAGGTCTTCACCTACTTCATGGTGACCACAGCTGCCATCTGCATCCTGCTCAACCTCAGTGAGGTCTTCTACTTGGTGGGCAAGAGGTGCATGGAGATCTTCGGCCCCAGGCACCGGCGGTCTCAGCGCCGGGAGCGCCTACCTGATACGTGCCCACCATATGTCCTCTCCCAGGGAGGGCACCCTGAGGATGGGAACTCTGTCCTCATGAAGGCCGGGTCAGCCCCAGTGGATGCAGGTGGGTATCCGTAACCTGCGAGATCACCAGATAGGATCACCAGGTGCCCCCCACCCCATACATGAGGCCACCCAGGAAAACAGGAAAGGGCAGTGGCATCCTTGCCATAGCAGGGTGGTGAGGAAGGTGGCTGTGGGGGCTCAGGAAGCTCACCCAGGGGTCAATGCGGGAGGTGGGGGTAGTTTGGTCCCTAGGTCCTAAGCCTCAGGGGAGGGAGGTTGATGGCTAGTGAAGATTTTGTATATGGCGATAGTGTATGTCAAACCTCTTAATAAATATGATTTTCTCAGTACTTTGCAGACCAGGTGGGGAGTCGCAGACAGGAAAACGGGGGATGGGGGGTTAGATGGACCTCAGAGAGGATGCTGAGACTACTCGGTGAGCACCTGAGCACCAGAACCTCAGATCCAGGCTCACCCATCACCCCCCAATACACACAGAGTATGCCCCCAGGATGCGGTGGGGAGTGCCCAAAAGCAGAGGCTACTCCAGGGGCCTCTGGGTTCTGCAACCAGCTGACCAAAATTGGGAGGAGAGAAACCCCAGGAGACCCTGTGCCCAGCAGGAGTCGGTTCTCAATGAGCGTCCATCACAGGAATGAGTGTGGGTCAGGTCTCTCTAGCCCTGCCCAGCACAGGTCCCAAATAGGTGAGTCCCCTATGACAGTGGGAGGGGCGGAGCTGAGAGCAAGCCAGGGATGGAAGTCTGTCAAGGTGCCTAGGAGGCACATCCTCCAGGCCAGGGTCCATTGAGAGTGTCTGAGCTGACAGGTCCCTCCTGGATCCTGGAGTCTATGGAATTTCACGTTCTTTTTCACTGATACCACTTCCCCAAGCAACCTCATCCCATACTCCCCCACCCCACCACCACTCAGACTTCAGCAACTCCCAGAGCCACAGCTCCACCCTAACATGCCTCCAAGGCCCCCAAAGGCCCGATAGACAACTCCCTGGGAAGCCCCCAGGCATCTCATACTTGGCCACTCCCAAGCCGACCTCATCACCTCCTCCCCGACCTGCTTCCTGGAAGATGCCCCACCCCATCTCATACAGGGCACAGCTACTCACCCAGCTGCCCAAGCCAGGAGAAGGCCTGTCATCCTTGTCCCTCACACCCCACATCCCCACTGGCACCAAATCCCACTGACTCCAGACCCTAAATGCCACCTGAATCTGTTCTTCCTCTCCTTACAACTTCACCACCTACTGGACCTCCCTCATCTGCCCTCCACTACAGGATGGAGTGATTCATCTGTCTATGCAACTGACCATGTCATTCCTCCTGCTTTAAAAATTCTTCCACCATCGGCCAAGTGGGGTGACTCATGCCTGTAATCCCAGCACTTTGGGAGGTCAAGGCGGAAGGATCAGCTAAGGTCGGGAGTTCATGACCAGCCTGACCAACATGGAGAAACCCCATCTCTACTAAAAATACAAAATTAGTCGGGGGTGGTTGTGCATGCCTGTAATCCCAGCTACTTGGGAGGCTAAGGCAGGAGAATTGCTTGAACCTGGGATGCAGAGATTGCGATGAGCCAAGATCATGCCATTGCATTCCAGCCTGGGCCACAAGAGCGAAAATCCATCTCAAAAAAAAAAAAATTATTCCACCATCACCAGACCCATGCCCTGAACTTGGCCTCCGCTGACCTCCCCACCTCATTCGAGTTTCCTCCCTCCTTTCTACCTGCCAATAATATCAAAAGGCTCGTGGGTCCTCCAGGCAGACACATCACATGGTGTCATTCTTCGGGCCTTTGTCACGTGATTCCCTCTGGCCAGAATGCCCTTCCCACCTCCTCTGGTGACCCTCCCTTGAACCTCTAGGACAACTTTACCCATCTCTCCAAGTACCAGCCTCGCTTGTTCCTCTGCCATTCTCCCCAAATTGGAATTGTCACCTCCCCTGAGTGTCTTCCTCTCAGTCTGTGAGCCCTTTATGGGCAGGTCACTGAGTCATCCAGGTCCCTGTTGCCTTCAATAAATGTTTGTGAGATGAGTAGTCTGTGAGCTGCTTTGGGGAAGGAACCCTGTCTCCTTTATCTGAATCTTCCACCACACCTAGCCTGAGGAGTTCAGCAAAGCATCTGTTTGTTCGTTTTGTTTTTGTTGTTGCTTTAACTAGAGCTAGCATAAAGGTCTCACCTTTAGGTAAGCAAATTTGGATCTAGAAAGGGGAAGAGACCCTTCCAGCCCTCACAGATCTGCTGAGGCTGTCAGGAGCTGTGTCCCCTGTGGTCCACAGGTAGCCTCCATGCCCACGCCTGATTATGACATAAGATCGAAGTCACCCATCTTTAGGGCAGGCTCCCTGGAAGCAGAGCCAGAGGCAGGGGTTTGCATGCATGTGAAGGAAGGAGCAAGAGGAGTGGGGGAGGGAGGGGCTAAGCTGAGCAGGGATGGAGACTCAGGGAGATGCAGCCTTAGCCCAATCCCTGTGGGATGAGGGGCTTCAGATCGTAAGTCTCACCAGAGTTCAGTCCATCATTACGTCAAGCACCCCCAGTGGCAGGAGGGCTGACAGGAAGGGGTAAGTGGCTCTCACTCAGTCAAAATCAACTCTTCAGGGCAGCCATAAGCCATAATCAGCCAATATTCACAGTAGCTGGGGAATGGATGTCCCCCAGTAAAGGGGACATGGGCAGGGCACCAATACCATCTACTAAACTCCTGACTCCAGGAAACCAGAGCTCCCACCTCCAATCCAAACTAGAGCTGTGACCAGCAGCCTGAGAGAATAGGGTGGCACTCCTGACCAGTTCAGAGCCAGAGAGCCCTACGCTGCTCAGACCACAGTAGCTCCCAAGTCCAGGCCAGGGAACCCCCCCATAGCCAACACCCTGAGATTCCAGATCCATTGTCCAGTGGCAGCTGCTAGGTCCAGCTTATGGTGAGCTCACTCCAGGACCTGACATCTCCCATGGCAACCTCTCCTTGGATGCTGCTCCCAAAGGTCTCAAGTCCGAGCCACTGAGCCAAGTGAAGACCTTCAGGGGAGGCTGGGACTAAGAACCACTTCAGCCATCAGGATATCTTATCCTCAATCCCACCCACAATCTCAAGACTCACACTGCTCTCACCACCACTCACACCTGTCCACCTTCACCTTCCTGAAAAATCCCCGCTTTGCTTCCTCTTCTGCCCTCTGTCCTGCCCACATCATTGCCACCTACTTCTCCTAATTTGTCAAAGACCAAGTCCATAGCCCAAGGTCTTCTCCTCTTGCTATTCTCCCATGACCCAAGGACTTAGGGGTCACCTGTGCATCACCCTGTCCTTTTCATCCCATAACCACCTTTGCCACATTTAGCTACCCACTAGCAGGTGGGTAGCTAGTGGGTAGCTAGCTACCCCCCAACCCAGACCTGGTCATCATCCAGAACTGTTCCACCTCCAGAACCTTCCATTCCTGGAAATATTTGTTATTTATTATTCCCTTTATCTGAAAGTTTCACATGAGATGCTAAGGAATTATCTGGGGAAAATCAGACATGGTCCCTGATCTCATGAAGCATACATTCTAGAGAAGAGGACAGCTACCAAACTCATGGCGCACTGGGGAAGCTGGGGAAAGAAGGAGGGGGATCTAACATCCAGGCATCCAGAAAAAGGCTCCCTGAGACATCTAGAGGAGGATTTTGCCAAGCGACAGGGGTGGAATTCCAGACAGAGGGGACAGCCTATGCAAAGGGAGAGCATACCTGGTGACAAAGATGGAAAGAACTCAAGAGGGCTTGGGCCAGGTGAGGGGTTCAGGTAGGAGTCAGGCTGGAGTGGACAGAGGCCAGATCCTTGCAGTGCTTTCTTTGTGAATCTCTACTAATGATTTTGGACTTTATCCTGAGGACAATGACAAGACCCTAGAAAGATGTAGCACAGAAGTGACAAGATCCAATTTGCACTGTCTCTGGGTACAGTGTGGCGAGGCCAAGGCAGGGCTTCCTGTTTGGAATCTGGTGCAATCATCCAAGCAAGAAACAGCAATGGCCTGAACTAGGGTGTGCACCTTGAGGATGGAAAAAAGTAGATGGATTCAAGAAATGTTTCCAAGACAGAATCCAAACGATGTAGTAATTTAATTGGGTGTAGGGATCAAAGTGACACCCAAGTTTCTGGCTGTGAACAGTGGTGCCATTTACTTGAGTAGGGAGATGTGGATGACTTCAGTTTCAGACATGTTGAATTTGAGATACAAATAACATGTCCAGGTTTTTCCCTCTCCTTCATGGATGACTCAGCTCCTGGTCCACTGTCTTCCATCTGCTTCTACATCTACATTTATTACCATTCTTAGTGACTCCATTTTCAACACCTTGACCTTTCAGGTCCTTGACTTCCTTGTTTTCAACAGTCTTTTTCTCCACCCTTCCAACCCACCCACCTGTGTGTTCACACCCTAGGCCTGTCTACACCAAGAGCTGCATCATCTCCCGTCTATGCGGCTCACCCAACCTAGTTCCCATTCCAGCAATCCTTCTGGCCCATCTACTCACCCACCACTATGTTCCCCAACTCCTTCCCATTCTCCCTGCCTTCCTCTCTAAGCTTAGACTCCACAGAGCCCCACACAATCACCAGCTTGCAGATGTCCTCCACTCCCTCCCCTTTCCATGCCTCTCCAGTACTCACCTGGCAAGACCCGAACTCCAGTTAAACCCAACTCTCCATTTAAACTTCTGGCCACAAAGTTCAAGTGGACACTCAGCGCCTCTAAGAAATTCTGTATTTTCCTAAAACATTATCACTACTCTCCAAAATGACTCTATCATCCTTCTCTTTCTTCAAACCTCCAGCCCCCATTCTCCTAATCCTCCATTTAAGCTGATAGTCAGGCATCATAGGGTGCTGGGAATAGAAGAAACAGGCCAGCTCGGCTCCGCCCACCACCACCACATCTGCCAAACTCACACATTAGTGGCTACAGCTTTGTCTCCTCCCCCGTAACGTAGACAAAGCATCCCTGCTCCTGGAGCACCCCCTCCACTTGGACACTGGATCCCTTCTCCCCTCACCTACTGTAGACTGTGCCCCAAAGTTGGGGCCTCTCTCTCCTACCTCACCACTTCCCTTCCTACAAATATGCTACAATATTTTCATATCTCTCTTTTTTTTTAATTCTCTCTTGACATCCCATTTTCCTCCAGCTGCTACCTTATTGCCAAAACAATGAAATCCTCTAAAAGTTGTCTATATTTGCTGCCTCCACTTCCTTAATTTGTTCCAATCAGGACTGCTCTTGTCAATATCCCCAAGGGCCTCCAAGCTGCCACATCCAATGGCCCATTCTTCAGCT